GGTGAGGGCCGACCCACAGTGGGCTTTTAGGACCGTTAGGGACCAGCCTGTTTGGTCCGTTTGCTAGCGGTCCCAGGCCGGTCCCGGGCTGGGCCGACCCACAATACACCCTTAACGTGGACATTCAATTGGATCAATTAGTTCACGTACTTAGCGCTCACCAACTTGAGGTTGAAAACAGCCATCAAGAAGTTACCATTGTGGACGAAACTAAAATTCAAGTCGAGAAACAAAAATTTGAATGCCAAGTACGTGACAAAAATTTGAATGCCACGTTGAAAACAGCCATCAAGAAAACTCTAGCATCATTGGAAAATATTTGACGATATTTTGGAGTTTGACTTTAGCCCCTGATGTAAAGAGAATGTGACAAATCAAGGAAAAGTGAAATTTGTGCTATTTGGACTCATTTCAATCACTTAACGACATTGTGCTCGGGAAGTGATACGGAAGTAAGGCTAGCCATGCCAAAAAGAGAGTTAATGGAAGTGGCACAAGATGCTTACATTTCTAGAGTTTTCTGTGCCAAAACGAGAAAATCACATTCCTCACTTAAATTCCAAGAAATGCAAAATGAGACAATTTATGCTTTGCCACTTCAAATTGGCACCACAACCCTATGAGCATAGTTGCAAACTTGAAGCTAGTTTGGGGAGCCAATTCAAATATTCGTAGTGGCGATAAAAAAAGACCACTTAGCTCTCTGCAACATCAATAGCATTGATGCATCACAGGGAGTCCCTTACCTCTATCTTTCGATTACATGCGTTCGAGACAATGCATGCTTTTAAATTGGGGTGGGATATGTGAAAACCTATGTCCGGAAGAAAATATATAGACAGAGATAGATAAGTAGGAAAGGGGACTGCATGTGCTACGGATCAGATCAAGTAAAATAGCTCACCACAAAGTCTCCAACTAATATTCCTACTCGTCCTAATGGGTACCTCCAATACCTGCATCAGATGTTGCACAAAATATGCATAAGTGTAGTATGAGTACAAAACCACGGTACTCATCAAGTATCAAATCTAGCCTCAATTAAATAGTGGCGAGGGGTCGACATCAACATTTACCATCAGTCAAATAATCAGGTGAAAAATATATTGGGTACAAAATGTGATATTATCAAATAGGTACGAAATCCAGAAATACCATATATGTAAAATTTAGGCATGCTTTGCAGAATAAGAATTCAAATTAGATATCAACTATTTTAATTCCCTAAGACATGATGTATATCAACCAACAACATTATAAAAGCTACTACATGAGTCCAATATATATATAAATGCATGCTCAAGACCCATTCTCAATATCTCAAAGCACAAATCCATGTGCCTGACACAGGCTACCTGTCCAAACCAAGCACCAAATCTTAGTGCCTACGCTCACAGGGTCCAAAGTACTATGGGTAATCACCTGACTCCGGAGTGATGGATCAATACCTAAGCATCATCTAACAATCAATGATCAATAACAAATAATCATTATCCGCTCATGGTGTCCGTAGTACCAAAATCCTCAACTTTTCACAATATTCAATTCTCCAACTCATGCATATGTGTTTGAAATAGAGAAAATGCATAAAGTACCTATTAACTTGTCCGGAAAAATTATTTACACCTAAACTTTACGGGCGACCTTTTACCCCCCTATTCTAAACTTAAGTGAATTTAATACCCTCTTGAGTGATGACATGGCGTAAAACGTGTAGTTATGCGCGTGAAGGCAAAAAAAAATAACTTAAAACTAATTTAATGGTCCAGGTGTCACTTTCCTATTGGATATTATAACTAATTAACTTAATACTACTTTTTTCTCTTTTCTTATTCATTTTTCTTTTCTTTTTCGTTTTTTTCTCTTTCTTCATTTAACAGAAGCAGTGAACTGGGTGCTACTTTGGCTAAAATATCCATTTCCGGTGACCTTATTCTTATCTACATCATTCTTCAATTGAGATTTTCTCCATCCGATTTTTCATGTATTTGCTGAAAAATACCTCTTTAGAACCAGAAATAGTGTTTAAAAGAAGACAAGGTGTCACCGGAAAATTCTCCGGCCGAAAAAAATTTATAGGTCCTTAACTAGTGGCTCTGCATCTCAGGTTTTATTCACTCTTCCAATACAAAACTAGGAGGAATAAAGTGACAAAAATTCTACTAAGGAAACCCATACGAAGGAAACTAGGAGCACAAACCCAACTCATCAAAAAATAGGTACCAACGATACCAAACTTTCCGGCCAACCCAAAATTTCTCTCTATCCCAAGCTTTCCGACGCTTTTTCTCCTTAAATTCGTGTAATGTCAAAGCCGCAAATAAATTTATCTACAATGAAAAAAGAAGAATAGAGATAGAGTTATTTAAGGGAGGTTATGACTGTGAATAGCTTCCACAGTGGCTGCGGCAAAAATAATGAANTATATAATAGTGTATATATATATAATAGTGTAACATTTGATACATGTATAGCGCATGTTCACACAACCCACCACAAGACTGATTCAGTATTTTGAATGAGGTATTAAATTCACTTAAGTTTAGAATAGTGAGGTAAAAGGTCGCTCGTAAAGTTTAGGTGTGTAAATGATTTTTCCGAACAAGTTTAATGGGTACTTTATGCATTTTCTCTTTGAAATTATATAATAAGGAAACACCAAACATAACAATAATGATACGAATGTAAGCTCATATGGCTAAAAGATGGCTATAGCTAATTATGTTATTTAATTTATCACAGCAATTCAATAAGCTATTTCAACATTCAAAGTCAAATTATAATATTTATCATGAGTAAATTAACCTATGTAACCACCAAATCATAAGGCAATAAGAAAAGGATATGACTACGGCTCAATAAGAAAGGTCAACATGGTAAATAATCCTTTTGCCCGATTCAACGAGTTATAGCGTTAAGCACGCTTCTAAGTCATAATTATGAGACATCATGTAGTCTTAGAGTTGATGAAAAATGGATGATAATTGCACATAATACAAACAAGGCATATCACAAGTCAAACCCTACCGAATATGGTTGTAACCTAGCTACGCATAAATACTTGCCACTTCGCATATACGTGGCGCCTAAATCAAGCAATAAGTAGAAAATAGATCACCTATTGGAGGAATTTTCTTTTACAAGGATAGACAAGAGACTTACCTCTTCTTGGGCTAGCTTCAATCCACAACCGCCTTTCCTTTTAAATCCATCTCCAAACGACTTGAATCTAGCAAAATATTACTCAATAAAGTCAATTAAAACTATAGAAATCAACTCCAAACAAAAAAGCTTCCATCTTTAATCAAATCCTCAAAAGTCAACATTGGCCCACATGGAAAAACCGGAGTCTAGGGGTAGATCCCGACTACCCATACCCCACGAGCCCAAATAGGTTATTCGATTCCAAAATTAAGTCCAAATCGGTAATCAAATCCCCAAATTACACCTTCTTAGGTTGCATACAAAAACCTCAAAATTCTCTTCGAAATTCCATGTTTTAATCCATGGGAATCAAGATGTATAATCAAATCCATGTAGAAATTATTTACCCTCAAATTATTGGGTAAATCTTTTCCAAGATCACCTCTTCCTGAGCTCCAAAACTCAAAACTAAAGAAAAATGTGTGAAAACTCGAAGTATATAAGGTATGCCAGTCATTCTTCGCATCTACGGTCACTTTGTCGCAGATGTGACACTGCTTCTGCGACAATACAATCGATTTTGCGCAAATTTTGGTACGTTTTAGGCTGTCCATAGTCTCAAGTCTCACTATGCATTTTGCAGGAACTTTATACAACACAGGAACATTAGTATATAATAACGTTGCTAAGAAGGATCATATCCGGAAAAGAGCCAATCTTTTGGAATTACTAATAAATTCACGGACAAATAAGAGAAAATTGGGCAACTAACATGTTAGTTGCTTTGTCTGAAGAAGTATTCAACTGCATATAAAATGAAGTTGCTCCTTAATGGCAATTATGATATTGCTCATTTTCAGTTTATTTAAATTTATTTATGATCAATTAACAGAAGTTATCTAGAGTTAAACGAAATAGAAAAGGGGCCAAAGGAAAATACAAGCATAGCAAAATCCTAGGATGAGATAGAGATCAACTGCCAGCCCAGAAAAGTTTGGTAATCTAATCTATTTTAGAAACGGAAAAAGTTTTATTACCCTGTATAACAAACGAAACAAAGCTCAAAAAACAGAAAGTACCATAGCACTAATTAGTTTCACTGGAAAAGCTCATTAAATTGGATTAAAATTGGCTCACAGCATAACAAATCTCCATACATGAACTATTTTGGTTCATCAAGTTAAATTCCAAAGGAGAAAATCATTGCCTTGCGTCATTACATTGCTCATCGTCATAAAACAAACTCAACTTATGACTGACTTATTAAGACGGCAAACCAAGATAGTACTAATAAAGAAATTTATCAGAACACTTCAAAGATAATACAGTAGCATCTCTTACAATGTAGCTCAGCCTGTCTGATGGAAAAAATCAGCCAACCATTTCATCAAACATCTGGCGTTCTCAAAATTTGTATCAACCAAATCGAAGACATGGTCCTCCACTTCTGTCTCCCTAATTTCCACTTCACCTCCCCATCCACTTCCCTTCAGCGCCTCATAGTAAGTCCAGCCTCTATCTTTGTAAAAATCACTTCCTGCAGTACAAATCAGAACTTTAGGACAAACAAGCCTGGATAGCAAACTTGGGTGAACCGTCGGATTAAATCTAGGATCATCACTTCTGGGATTTTCCGGACAAATATATGTCCAAATCTTATTAGGCTCATCATTTCCGAAAAAGGGGTGAATTAATGTCATCCCAACAAGTCTCAAGCCAATCGTGTGTTTATCTTCATCTACACTTGCGCGCATCATCATGTTATGAGCAATATTAGCTCCGGCACTATCACCCGCCAAGAAAACCCGAGAAAAATCAGCATGGGTTTTTAGCCATGGATCAGTTCCTTGAGCAACCCATTTCATCACAGCCCAGGCATCATCGTAGCACGCAGGGATTGTGTGTTCTGGGGCTAATCTATACTCCACAGATATGGCCAGCACATTATTGATAATGGCTCCAACCTCAACAACGACTTGATGAAAGCTATGTGTGAATCTTTCAAGATTAGACACAAGAATTCCACAGCCTACATGCCTCAAATGAATGGAGCTGTAGAGGCCGTCATCAAGAATATCAAGAAGATACCGAGGAAAATGATAGGGAAGCATAAACAGTGGCACGAAAAGTTATCATTTGCTCTATTAGGGTATCGCACCATAGTCCCACATCAATCGGGGTAACCCCATATATGATGGTTTATGGAACATAGGCTGTCATTCCCGCTGAGGTAGAAATTCCTTCCCTAAGGATCATACAAGAAGCTAAACTCGACGACGCAAAGTGGGTAAAAAATCATTATGAGCAATTAGCCCTTATAAACGGAAAGAGAATTAATGCAGATTGTCATGGTCAACTCTATCAGAACAGAATGTCTAGAGCCTTCAACAGGAAAGTCAAGTCAAGACAGTTCACACCGGGGCAGCTGGTGTTAAAGAAAATTTTTCCGGATCAAGAGGAAGCCAAAGGGAAGTTCTCTCCCAATTGGCAGGGTCCATACATGGTTCACCGGGTTCTGACAGGAGGAGCCCTCATACTTGCAGAAATGGACGGCGAAATCTGGCCAAAGCCGATCAATTCGGATGCAGTCAAGCGTTACTATGTGTAATCTTTATGCTTCCCTTATATGATGTAATTGAACTACGCCTGACTTGATTCCCGTTTAGGAGGGGATACGTAGGCAGCCCTATGGGTTCGGTCACAATTCAATAAAAATTCCATCTCCCCCCGCAATTGGAAACTGGGGTAGAAATTTGAGGAGGACCCTCAAAATTCCGAAGTAATTTCAGCCGATCGTCGCGCAAGCAATAGTCAGAAATGTCAACCCATCAAATTGGGGCAGAAATTTGAGGAGGACCCTCAAAATTCCGTAGCAAGAGAGGTTGTAATGTCCCGAACCACGCCACAGTCGTCGGTTCATTTAAAAGCTATTTTAATTATACACTTATGTCATACTTTTACAAAATTATTGCATGCTTTGTTTAGCAACGCTACCCCAATGATACGTACAGTATCGCTAGATCAAAGCCGAGCAGGTCAAGCAAAGCCAGCGAGGACACGAACTAACCTCCCCCTTACAAAACTCACAATTTTTCTTTGGATGCATGATTGCAAAATCTTTAAACACACTACACACCCATGGGACAAATATCGTTTGTGAATACGACTCTCCGAATCATTGCACTTGCCAACATTTACTATCAGCACGTACAAGTAATGCTCCGCAGTCACAATGCTCCCAGTAATCACAATGCCGCCATCTGCTATTAGCTAAGAAAACTCTGCTGTCATTTGCTATTTTAGTTCTTGCATAAGTTTACCATTCTACCTTCCGAGATTAAACGTTGTCTCTATCTGCATTCACATTGTATAAGGCTACCAATCTGTCTTCCGAGACTAAACGCTGTCTCCATCTATATTTGCATTGCATAAGGCTACCATTCTGCCTTATGAGACTAAACGCTGTCTCCATCTATATTTGCATTGCATAAGGCTACCATTCTGCCTTATGAGACTAAACGCTGTCTCCATCTGCATTTGCATTGCATAAGGCTACCATTCTGCCTTCCGAGACTAAACGCTGTCTTCATCTGCATTTTTGCATAAGGCTACCATTCTGTCTTCCGAGGTTAAGCTCTACCTCTGTTTGTATTCGCATCTTCGCATAAGGCTACCATTCTTCTTCCGAGACTAAATGCTCTCTCCATCAGCATTCTTGCATAAGGCTACCATTCTGCCTTCCGAGGTTAAGCTCTACCTCTCTCTGCATTTGCATCTTTGCATAAGGTTCTCATGCTGCCTTCCGAGGCTAAGCTTTGCTTCCAGTTTTCTTCTAACTTAAGCACCACCTCAAGCACTATTTATTTCACTTTTCTTACAAGCTAAGCTCTGCCTTTCAAATCGCAAGACTAAGCTCTGTCTTGTCTGCATCATACTACTGCATCCTTCATGGGCTGAGGTATCGCCAACTCATCCGAATGCGTCTTCGTTTGGATGCACCATCTTCATAGCCCGAGAACACCATGTCATGGCCTGGGATCTCTTTCAATCTTTCGCATATCATTATTCAAAGGCATCATGGTTCGAAGGCACCATCCTCATAGCCCAAGAGCATCATTTCATAGCCTGTGAATCCTTTATCATACGCTTCATGGCCGAGGACATCATGGTCTAAGGACGTCATCCTAACCGTCCAAAGACAACATTCATAGTCCAACGAGAATTTGCATCATGTTTAAATTTATGCACAATATATGCTTGTATTGTTTCTAACTGCAGGTAAACCGGCGAGCAACGGCCATCCCAGCAGGAGTGGTCCCACTGCAGTTCTCGCAGCCTTATCAAATCTAACCATTCCCGCAAGCCGTCCACTCACCCCACTCTAGATATTGCGTTCGTTTTTGAAATATCTTCATCGGCACACTCCGCAGGTGAATCCTGAACTGCATACGGCCTGATTCATGTAAAACCAGGGATATGTAGGAAACTCAGAAGCCAGGGTGCGGCCTAAACCTCTTCAAACCGTTTCACTCGGTCAAAATTGGCCATCATATCTTTATCCGACAACTCTTTCATCCTTCCCGAGTAAAGAGGGGTTGCTGTTGATACCCAAATTTTTCCTATATATTTTCAATATGCAAAATACTTTCAAAATAGCATATATAAGCTGTCCAAATATTTTATTATTTTTTCATAATTTTTAAAGGTTTAAATTGATTCATTTTCCCCTTTTTATCCATAAAATCTCAATAATAATTTCCAAAATCAGTATTTTGATGATTCATTTATAGGATTTCTCTAGGTTCTCTAAAAACCAAGTTCTGAGAGTTTTTTGATTTTTCTTTTAGATCTGTTTTAGATCTGTGCGTGTTATGAACTTCTTGATGTTTTCCAAAAGGGTTTTCGATTTTCTTTCAAAAGTGACTCTTCGTTTTCAAACTAGGGTTTCTTAGACTCTTTTCAAAGATCTCTTCTCCGATTTTTCAGTAATGTCTTACTTTGTTTATATGATTTGCTTATATTTTTCTTCCATCTGGTTCCTCGTGTTAAAAACCCTAAGTGTTTTGGTTTTATCCGAGTTCTGAAGATGCCTTTGTTTGTCTGTGTGTATACTTGTTTCGATTAAGCTCTTTGTGTTTGAATCCTCTTCCCTGTTTGACTTATTTGATTCTAAGTTCTTACTATTATGGAAACCCTAATTTCTTAAAAGGTTTTCCTCGCTTGTTACTGTGAGATCTTTACTTGTTTTTGACTCTCTTTACCTGTTGGACTGGTTTCTTCACTTTGGCTCTACGTGTGAGCCCTGACTATTTGACTTGGTTGACTACTGAGCCCTAACTTACTCTTGTTACTGCTATATGTTTGTATGCATCCAGTGGTTTCTTTTGCCAATACGTTTGGCCTTGCATGTCTGATATTCTTGTTCGTTCTATTTATATACTGAAGTGCAAAGTCATGATTCTTTCTTGATTATTCTTGATTTCCTCAATGTTACGACTGATTGCAAAAGGTTCCCTTATAAACCCTAATTTTTACTCATTTGTTTAAAATTGATTGATTCCCTTCCTTAACTACTGTGATGTTTTACCTTGCTGAATCATTTTCCAAAATTAAGCATATTTTTGTACTTAGACTCAATTATTTACTTCATAATTTTACTGCCCCCTTATATGGCAAGAATCAATCCGTCCCAAACTGATTTCTTTCCTTTATTTGACCCTGTTAATATCCGCTTGAGCAGTAATTCCCTGATTAAAGGGAAGTACTTGTATTGATTGATTCTGATTGTGATTGTTTCCATATCTGTATTAAAACCTGACTTTATACCTTATTCTTTAATCGTTTTCAAAACTATAGATACCATATCCTCTCTTCTTTAAATACACGAACAATTTGAGTTCAAAAACACACACTTATACTCAAAACTCTCTTTTTCTCTACTATCACTTGTGCTATTGCTTTGTCTAGCCGGCTGAAAGCCAAGGCTAGACTGTGGAATCCTTCTTACTCTTCCTTTATGCACTTTGCTTATCTAATAGTATGTCCTAGTTAATTTTTCAAGCCTCAACAACAACATGCTTCTTTAGTTGTTTCAGTTTCCCTTATTCTTGTTTACCGTGTTTATGGTTCTGCAGTCAAGTTACATTAGCAAGTTGTAATATGTTCCATTCCCCCTTAGATTAATGCTTCCCCTATGTGTGTTTTGAATCATACTCTGTCAGTCACTTGATTGTGTACTTGCTATCTTACGAATCCCAAACCCATATCCCCTCTATGTGTTTGTGTTCTTTTGGCTGGTTTGTGACTATGCCAACATCAACTATTGTTGTGCATGACCAAACCCGACCTCCGCTAAGGTCATGTGCTTATTGACAACTGACTCCCCAAAATCAGCTTGTCCCCCCTTTGTATGACTACTAATTCTGTGTAGTTGTGAGTTTTACTACTACAATTGATTTCAATAAACTCTGTTACTAATTGCTTTCAAAATGGACTATCAGTCCAGCTTTTAAAATAAATCTCTTTCAACATGGGTTATGCACTTCCACTATATTCTTAGAATCTAGGTTCTGCCCCTCTTGTGTGAGCCTCGCCTTAGGACCCTTGAGCTTCCTCTGAACTTGGACATATAAGGGCTGGCCCTTCCATACTGCACTCATTCTATTCTGCACTGCCCGGGATTCCCTGAGGTCCTTAGGGAACTTTGACACACCCAGGTATGAGAAAGGCTTTGAAATATTGGCATTTAAGTGGTTCATTACATAACTCAGAGAGGAAGTCAAGATCCGGCTTCCTTTGGTTGTAATTTCTTATTTCTGCACTTCTTTTGTAATTCAATCATTTGGTCTGTAATAATTTGTAAACAATGTCGAGGTGATTAGTGAAAAAGGGTGGGTAACCGTACATTGTAGGTAAATTGGGTAGATAACATGTCTATAGG